CTGGGGACACCTGGGCACACCTGGGGACACCTGGGCACACCTGGGGACACCTGGGCACACCTGGGGGACAGCTGGGGGACAGCTGGGGCACACCTGGGGACACCTGGGCACACCTGGGGACAGCTGGGGACACCTGGGGACACCTGGGCACACCTGGGCTCACCTGGGATACACCTGGGCACACCTGGGGACACCTAGGGACAGCTGGGGGACAGCTGGGGACACCTGAGATACACCTCAGTACACCTGCACGCACCTGGGGTACAGCTGGGGACAGCTGGACACACCTGGGGACAGCTGGGGTACACCTGTCCATGTCACACCTGTCACACCTGTCCCATCACACTTGTGTCGCACTTGTCACACCTGTCACACCTGTCACACCTGTCACACCTGTGTCACCTGTCACACCTGTCTCACCTGTGCAGGTGTTGTCGGAGGTGTGCGGTCAGGAGGTGACCACCACGCAGATGTTGCCCACCGTGCTGCGCATGGCCCTGGGGTCACACCTGTGTCACACCTGTGTCACACCTGTCACACCTGTCACACCTGTGTCACACCTGTGTCACACCTGTCACACCTGTGTCACACCTGTCACACCTGTCACACCTGTCACACCTGTGTGTACCTGTCTCACCTGTGCAGGTGTTGTCGGAGGTGTGCGGTCAGGAGGTGACCACCACGCAGATGTTGCCCACCGTGCTGCGCATGGCCGCCGACGCCGTGGCCAACGTTCGCTTCAACGTGGCCAAATCCCTGCAGCGCATCGGGCCCATCCTGGACAGCGGGTACTGGTTTATACTGGTTTATACTGGTTTATACTGGTTTATACTGGTTTATACTGGTTTGTACTGGTTTACACTGGGAATGGGGCTGGGGGCCCTGGGCATACCGGTTTATACTGGTTTGTACTGGGAATGGGGCGTGGCCAAATCCCTGCAGCGCATCGGGCCCATCCTGGACAGCGGGTACTGGTTTATACTGGTTTATACTGGTTTATACTGGTTTGTACTGGTTTGTACTGGTTTACACTGGGAATGGGGCTGGGGGCCCTGGGCATACCGGTTTATACTGGTTTGTACTGGGAATGGGGCGTGGCCAAATCCCTGCAGCGCATCGGGCCCATCCTGGACAGCGGGTACTGGTTTATACTGGTTTATACTGGTTTATACTGGTTTGTACTGGTTTGTACTGGTTTACACTGGGAATGGGGCTGGGGGGGCTGGGCATACTGGTTTGTACTGGTTTATACTGGTTTATACTGGTTTATACTGGTTTATACTGGTTTGTACTGGTTTATACTGGCCTGTACTGGTTTATTCTGGTTTGTACTGGTTTATACTGGTCTGTACTGGTGTCACCTGTCTGTTCTCACCTGCCCAGGACGCTGCAGACCGAGGTGAAGCCGGTGCTGGAGAAGCTGACGCAGGACCAGGACGTCGACGTCAAATATTTCGCACAGGAGGCGCTGACAGGTGAGGGACACCTGGGGACACACCTGGGGACACCCAAAACACACCTGGGGACACCCAAAACACACCTGGGGACACCCAAAACACACCTGGGGACACCTGGGGACACCAAAAAC